TATAGGATGGCCCTAACCCTAAAGTTAATCGATAACATTATTAAGAAATATGAGTGCCTCCGCTTTAGACGTCCCCCGCATATGGTATATCAGATATCGATCATCTTAAACTTCGAACTTGATTGGATCAAATCAGATGATCTTCGGCACGTGATCCGAACATTTTTCGCCATGGCTAGGGTACTATGATTATGCACATATATGTGACAAAATAAATTTGTGTTAGGTTAAAATTAATTATTCTACGGGTCTCATGTAACAACCCATGCTTTTTTCATTTGGTTATTGCACGGGATTGTACGTCAGACACCGTGAAGTAATCTAGTTATTGTATGGGTATATGAATAACCCGTGGCCTTCGGCCACGGTTATTCACTACATAACCATACAATAACAAGTATATATTAGTTGGGTAAAAGGGCTATGGGTCAAATTCTGACAAGTCATAATCCTGACAAACAACCCCCAAAAACTGACAGTTAAAAATCCCAACAATTAAAATTCTGATGAAAATAGCTAACTCTAGCCTAATTCTTATCTAAAGTGCCTTAACCCTAAAGTTAATTAAATTATGAGATGCTACTTCGCTTTAAACATATCCATATTCAGGATTTTTTCTACTTGAAAATTCTGACTGTCAGGATTTTTGATTGTTGCGATTTTGACTATCGGGATTTTTTTGTCAGGATTATGACCTGTCAGGATTGCGCTTGTCGGGATTTTGACCGGCACTCAGTAAAGTCTATGCTAGAAGTAGAATCATATCTATTCTAAAATCCAAATTTGGGCATCCGTAGGTAGGTTGTCTAGGTAGTAATATTAATAAAAAGATTGATAATTTGATAAAAAGATTTTAAGTTCTTTACTAGTTTTTTTTATTTTTTACCAATTTTATTATTTTTCAGTTTTTCACCTTTTAGCAGTTTTTTTATTTTTTTACCAATTTTATTATTTTTTCAGTTTTTCACCTTTTAGCAGTTTTGCCATTTTGTTATTTTAATTTTTTGTTTAGCAAAAGTCAAAGCTAGTTTTGACTTTTGCCAATGGCAAAACCTCTAGGTTTTGCCTAACTACTCCGACATCAAAGTGGTCTTTAATTTTATTACAATTGAGTAGAACATAGGGATGGTAAAAAATCATTTTTCACCGATTTAAATCATGCGATTATTATAATCTTGATATGCTGAGGTTTAAATTTAATATAATCAGATCGTGTTTTAAATCGGTGAAAAATGATTTTTTACCATCCCTAGTAGAACAGTTACAATACCACTACTTCGCTTTCTCACGAAATCTATAAACCTTATTAACCGTATTACTCTCAACTTCATATTCTTAACCTATATTATAGTCAAGATTCTATATTAGTTGGGTTACGAAGAATAAGTTTTCATAAAATACGTAAAGGACAGCTTAAATTGCCAAGTTTAATTGATTTATTGAACTCATAAGTTAAACTTAAACGTTTAAACATACCTCTCATCTAACCGAATTACTTCGCGAATTACTTTGAAAGTTTATGAAATAAGACGTGAACCTTCTAATGTTTTTTGTCTTACCCCCTCGGAATTAATATTCGTGGTCGGAATTCATAAGATGATCAAAAATTAGCCAACCATAATAAAGTCCGCTATGCTATGTAAAGTAATTTATATACGTACTGATCATGCCGAAATCAATAACTTAATTGAATCGGCCGGAGTATCATTCGGTCAATTGTTATCAGGTGTTCCAGGAATTATGAAAATAACCGGTCATAACCGGCTATAACCGTAACCGAAGCTATCCCTAGTTGGCGGTATTTAAATAAGGTTTGGAAAGGAGTCGCTATAGGTGTAAAAACAGGATAAAATTTTTATACCTATAACGATTCCTTTCCGATCATCTTTTGAATAGAACTTTTTTTGTAGAGATTGTAGGTGAAACAAATTTTGAGTTTCACCATAATTTCAACTGAGTTTCTCATTACCTTATTTAGTTTCACTAGTCTCGAGTTTCATTAGCAACCTTAGTTGTAGCACAATAATGTAAATCCAATAGTATTACATTTATACACTCCGGACAATAGTGCTAAATGGTTTTGGAACATCGAATTTGTAAAAATGAGTCAAAACATAGACGATTGTAGTGCAAACAACCCTCATGTTGGTACCATTTACAATTCTGAAAGCGTTCCGGAATTGCTTATAAGTAATATAAAACTCTTAGAAGAACGTCTTAGGCGTTACGAAAATGAAGCAGGTCAAAATAGTAGTACATCGACATTAATAGGGGTCCCTTAAAGCGGGGCAGATTTCATATAATGATCTACATGCTGCATAAATTGTATTCTTTATATATAAATAACTTACTAACCTTAACTGTATCAAAAAGGTAACTCCTAAAACATCAAAAACGTAACTTTTTTTAACCCGGCTTTAAGGACCCCCATTAATAGACAGAGTTTCTTATTTACGGAAAAACAGAGAAAATGATGTATCAAATGCAATTATTAATATTGAAGATTCAATGAATGTTGATCTTTGTTTCGTTCTGGATTGTACAGGCTCTATGTCTCGTCATATTGAAGCAGCGAAAGAGCATATATTAAAAGTGGCTAGTTACATAGACAGCAATAATTCAAATATCGGATTCTGGGTTGGTTTCTGTGGTTATCGTGATCACTTGAATTGTAATGATCGCTTACAAAATTTTGATTTTACTAGCTCTCTCGAGAAATTTAAAACGTATATAACAAATAAAGTGGTGGCTATAGGAAACAATGATGACCCAGAAGATGTCTTAGGCGGTCTTAATGCTGCAATAACTGAGATGACGTGGTGTAATACTACTCGTGTTCTCATTCATATAGGCGATGCGCCACCACATGGTCGTCGTTTTACAAACTTAGATGATGAATATCCAAATGGTGACCCAAATGGTCTAGCTGCAGAAAGTATGCTAAAGATCATGCAACTAAAAAACATTTTATACTACTTTGGAAAAATTAATGATTCTACTGATGTTATGCTTAATGTATTTCGCGAAATAATTGGAAAGTTTCTTATATTTGATCTTATGACTACAGGATATAATCCTGAGGTATTAGTCAATAAATTTTACAAGGCTACTTGTTCAGCCATTTTTTCTTCTATTACACAGACCACAACTTTAGGAAACTCGAAAAGCATATACTCTTTACAACGAAAAAACTTAAGACTAATCCACATGAACCTGATTGGACTACTCATCCAGAGAAAACAGGAAAACTTTTATGTTATATTCTACCTAAAACTCTGGCTGAAGTTAAAGATGAATATTATTTTATTAATTCAAGCTTTACTGAACGAGATATATCTTTTAAACTTGCATCGCAACCATTCTCCATCGGCGCTGAACGATATGCTTATTTCGCACTTGATACAAGCCTTGGACGAGCCAATAAATTAGTTGCAAAAAAGTTTCACGATATTAAAATAAACTCAATAGAAATGTATTTAGAATCAGTGGAAATCTCTAATATTGCTTATTTTTTTTCAACAAAATTCAATATAGCCACAGAACGGGTCGGTGTTAATAAAAAAGTTACGTTTGTTGATGTAAAAGTCTTATACGATAAAACAGATAATACTTACTACTCTGTAAAAAAATATATTAATAATGCAGAATTTAAAAAATTTAACGTGAATAGTGGTCTAATTACGGAATTTCATCCAATACTCGAGGCATTTGCTCATTTCACGTATCAATATTCTGAAGGATATTTGGTGGTTTATGACTTACAAGGCGCCGATCTCGATAGTGAGTTTTTGTTAACAGATCCAGTTATACATTGTGTTGATTTATTAAGATTTGGAATAACAAATTTAGGAAAGGGTGGAATTCAAAAATGTTTTTTGGCAAAACATAAATGCAATGATATTTGTAAGAACTTGAAATTAGGCAGTGATATTTGGGAAGGACATTGTTATGAAAATGGAATAGGAGTTGAAAAAGATATAAAGAAAGCATTCGAATATTATCAAAAATCAGCAAATCTCGGACATATAGATGGAATATATAATGTTGGACGTTGTTACCAGAACGGAATTGGAATTGAAAAGAATGAACATGAGGCATTCAAATATTATCAAAAATCTGCAGATATGGGTCATGAAGATGGAATAAATCAAGTAGGATATTGTTATATAAAGGGAATTGGAGTTAAAAAAGATGAACACAAGGCATTCATTCATTATCAAAAATATGACAATAACGGAAATGCAGTTGGAACATATAATCTTGGATGTTGCTATGAAAATGGAATAGGAGTTGAAAAAGACATAAAGAAAGCATTCGAATATTATCAAAAATCTTCAGACATGGAACAAGCTGATGGAACATATAATCTTGGATGTTGTTATGAAAATGGAATAGGAGTTGAAAAGATATAAATGAGGCATTCCAATATTATCAAAAATCTGCAGATATGGGACATACATATGGAATATATAATGTTGGACGTTGCCATCATTACGGAATAGGAGTTGAAAAAGTTATATGGAAAGCGTTTGAATATTATCAAAAATCTGCATATATGGGCATGTAGATGGAATATATAACGTTGGACGTTGTTATGAAAATGGAATAGGAGTTGAAAAGGATATAAAAAAAGCATTCGAATTTTATCAAAAATCAGCAGATATCGGACATATAGGTGGAATATATAATGTTGGGCGTTGTTACCAGAGCGGAATTGGAACTGAAAAGAATGAACATGAGACATTCAAATATTATCAAAAATCTGCAGATATGGGTCATGCAGATGGAATAAATCAAGTAGGATATTGCTATATAAAGGGAGTTGGAGTTAACAAAGATGAACACAAAGCATTCATTCATTATCAAAAATATGACAGCAGAGGAAATGCAATTGGAACGTATAATCTTGGATGTTGCTATGAAAATGGAATAGGAGATGATCATAAAGCATTCATTCATTATCAGAAATCTGCTAATATGGGTAATGCTGAAGGAATGAATAGTATCGGTCGGTGTTATGAAAATGGAATAGGGATCAAAAAAGATGAAAAAAAGCCTTCGAATGGTATCAAAAATCTGCTGCGAAGGGAAATACTGCTGGGATGGATCTTGTTGAATATTGTTATCGAAACGGAATCGGAATAAATAAAGATAAACAAGATGAATTGTATGAGAAATCTGAGACGAACATTGATTGGAATCATTTATCCCATTTGTCATGGTTTCCGTACAAAAAATTTAAAAATATTTAAAAAATAGGGGAGGGAGGATTTTCAACCGTATATTATGCTGAACGAAC